AAATAAAATATATATATATATATATAAAATTAAATAAAAATATTTTCAAGTCATTTTAAATAGTTTATCACTTATTTATAATTTTTAAATAATATACGTGTTATGTATATAATTACCATATTTTATGAATATTCAAAAATCGTCTCAAAAAGAGTTTGTTTTAATTAAATATTCAATTAAATTAATTTGGTTTAAAATACTTATAAGTTATTTAGTTAATTAGTTTAATTATTCTTATTTTATGTTATTTTATTTTGTTGATTTGAAAAGTGCGTTTTTGTTGATTTACGTTCTTTAAGTTTTGGCGGTAGTTTATGTTAATTAGTTTATAATCGAATTATTTGTTTTATTTCGTTAACATTAAGAAGCTCATTAATTAATTTATATTAATTCGTCCTATTTAGTTACTAGCCGAATTAACTAAAATAATTCAATTTGGCTAGATTGTTAATTCACCTACCTAACCCTTTATTGCAATTCTAGCCTATTTATTTTGAAAGACCAAGTTGGCCATTCATTCAATAATTTCCAGCAGCCCTTTTTTTTTTTCATTTCAGCAGCCCACCAAGAGCCCAATACCCATTCCAATCAGCCCACATCTTCCAATCAGCCCAACACACATCACATACTAAGAAACCCATTTCAACAATATACAACAATCCAAACAATACAGGGATGACAACAGTACTGCCGACCCCTATTGCCCTTCTTCTTCACGCCAAAGTGACCAGAAAAACGTACAGCAGCAGTCCCAAATGCGTTGACACACGCAACAACGGGACAGAGCATGCGTCTGCCCCATTTCCCCTTTCGGAATGGGGTGAAACCTGAAGAAAAAAAGGTGTTCGCCCAAAAGGGTGAAAGGATTCAAATTTGAATTTAGGGATGGGCCTCGAACCGATTTTTGGGGTCCCTTTTCCCCCATTATTCTGAACCCTAGAACACCTCTATAAAGACTATCCTCTTTTTCATTGATTGAAATTTTTTGACCTAAGAACAGAGAGAAAACGGTTTTTTTTTATTCTTGGGCTATCTAGAGTGGTTTCGATTTGTTAGAGTTCGTCGGATTCCGGCACAGTTTAGTCGTGGTGTTTGTGGAAGCTCCTCGTGGCTAGCTTGTTTCGTCCGGTTCGCTGCCCAGGTAAAGGTGAGAAGCCCATCCTACTTAGTTTTTGTTGTTCTCATTCTTCTCGACTTCTTATATGTCTTGTTATGATTTTGTCTGAGTAGCTGTTCCCTTTAAGATCTCTTCGGTTTATTTAAAAAGGGTTCAGGTATCTTATTTTATGTGTAAAGGTGGACTGGATACCAATATTACTCTCTCTTTTAAGTGTTAAAGTCGTATTCGTTCTATGATGTTCGGAATCAGTTCGACGACTTGCTTTCCATGGTTAATGTCTTGATTGCTCCTCACACTCGTAATTCTCTATCTGTCTAGCTTTGGCTTCTTTTTCTTTTCCAGCATGTTGCTAGTTGTTAAGTGTTGTATAAAGTTTATTTGCTTGCTTCCTTGCCCCATTCCCTTTCTTCTTTCTTCTTTTTTTCTTATTTCTATAGGTTTAGTTCAAATGCCTTTGAGTGTTAAAGTGTTTAGAAAATGATAAGTCGCTATGATTCTAAGGTTCTTTTCTTCAAATAACTTTGTCTTAAGTTTATGATACCGTTTTGACATGAATGTTGCATTTTAACTTAGATCAGTAGCTTGTGTTGTAGAGGAAATGTATTAACTTCTTTTGGTGTTTTCTATTGAGTAAATATTAGTTTGAAGGTTTATTCAAAATTAGGCAGTTATACTAGCTAGTTATGGCCTAATTATCTTGGTTTGAAAAGTTAAGATTATATATTAAGGTGTCATTGTTAGAATTTTGCTTCTGTTCAGATTCGGCTATAGCCATTAATTGTCTAAGGTCATCAAAGTCCGTCATGTTGGCCTAGAGCTTTGTGTAATTTCCCTCTTCTTTTTACAATGTTTAAAATTAAAAATGATAGTGCACTGTTCCAGTTCTCTGCCTAATGTTTTCCTTTTAAAAATTAATGAATGATTACTTATGTATTTCTCTCTTGTTTTATTATTTTTGTTATACATGTGAGCACTATTGAGGATTCCATTTGGATTCCAATCCCACTTGCGTTTCGAATGGGCCACGGAAGCCCAGTTGCATCCGCTCGAGTCAGCCTCCATTTTGCTCAGGTCCACGGGAGTAAATTACAGCGTATAAATCTGAAAAAATGGAATTGCAGGTCCTAAAGTCTAGGGGAATGGATCGTATACAATCTGTATACACTTGTTATACAGTAATATACAGGCCAGATTATCGGAAATACAGGTTGAAATACATAAAACACAGGCGTACAGGTCTAAAAATGTAGCAAAGTATAGGTTGAAGGCAGATACGCAGGTTTCGGAAGCAAAAAGGCCCGAAAAGGGGGCTGTATACACTGATATACTTGCTATATACAGTGATATACAATCGAAAATGCAGTGATATACATGTCAAAAACGTGAAAATACAAGTGAAAAGTGTGGAAACACGAAGTTCAGCAAATATTATAGGTCCGGAGTCCGATGATCAACGATATACCCGGTGTATACATTTAAATATACATTGGGTGTATATCGGGATGAGTGAGAATGAAAAAGGGGTAAAGGCCCAAGGGAATTTCAGCAGGGTCCAAGATTTGTGGAATTTGGGCCTTTGGCCCAAATTTGATTATTCCCTTTCCCTCTCTTATTTATTTTATTGTGTTTGGCTAACTTTATTTATTTTATGGTGTGATCTAATTAACTTCCCATAGATAGCCATTTCGCCTTTGTGTTCAAAATATAAACATTTATTTTATACATATTTTTATTACCTAACTTCCATTTCAATTTTAGTATTATCAACACTTAAATCACTTCCCTTTAGAATGATCCCCTTTAGTTTATTTTCCCTTTTAAAAAAATAATTAATTAGAAAATAATTGTAATAAATAAATAAGTTAAAATAAATGAGTTCATTTACTTAGTTAAAAGCTTTTTTTTAAAAAAAAATAATAATAATAAAAAATAATAATATATATATAATATATATATATATAAAAGTTAAAGTCATGAGTTCTTTACTTAGTTAATTTTTTTTTAAAAAAAATAATTAATTAAAATAAATGAATTCTTTTACTTGAGTTAAAATTTTAAAATTAGTCAAAATCAGTTTGGTCAAATCGTCGGTCAACCGCGAGTTAGCGGGCATTCCGAGGGCCTAACACCTTCTCGGATTGTACATTGAACTTCGAACCCTCTTATTTTCAATGGATTTTATCTGTTTAAATCTTTTGAAAACCTTTAAATTTTTTCTTGATTTTTACTAAAAATTAAGTGGCGACTCTTTCTTTTGGAAATTCGATTTCACTTAAACCATAAGTTTGATCGAGTTTTCAGAAGCTCAGTAATTTTACCTTTTACATATCTTTTTAAGTAAAACAATTGTTTTATTTAACAAATCAAAAAAGTTTCATTACTTTTCCTCATACCATAACCTTAATAATTTTTTAAAAAGAGTGTCAAGTCAATATGAATTAAATAATACGAAACAGAGAAGAGAGCAATCACTTACGCCCCCACATTCCATCAAAATCACACTTCTTTTTTTTTGGTGAATTTTAGAATATTCAATAATAAGAGAATATAAACAAAAAGGGGAATAGAAAAAGGTAAATATAAGAATGTAATGTGCATTCATGATAATCGCCAAAATAAAAAAAAATAAAAAATAGGCAGTCACGCAAGAAAGGATGCTATAATTAACTAAATGTTATTCCATTTCTCAATTATTACTCCTTACGTCTTATATCAATTGTCAAGATTATCAAAAATATGTATTCCAACTTACTTGTTATTTTATAAAATTCAAGATTAAATTAATTATTTTTATTCTATTTAACCCTTTAATATTACATGTTCGCGAAATAAGATTAACTTAGTTGTCCTTTTGAAAATGACTATAGTTAATAATATATTTTTTAAATTTTTTTCTATCGTATAATGGCAGTAACCTTTATATTTCTATTATATAGAAATGTGATGAGGAGGACGACCAAGGGCAATTTCGTCAATTTATTAAAAATCTCAGTTTAAAACAGTTGTACATAATGCAGAGGAGTTCTTGAATTTCCCAAAAAATCAGGCAACTTACTAGAAGAATCTATTACCTCTAAAAAGTGGGACCCCTCTCTTGAAAAAAGTAGAGTACAATCAAGACCATTCCTTTTTTTTTTTTTTTTTTTAATCTTTCCTAAAATTAGAATAAAGTCTAATCTAATTGATGTATTTTGCTAAGAAAAAAAATACACGGTAAAAAATAAATTAGTATTAAATTAAAATTAACTAATAAATAAAAATAATTTTGATTAAAAGTTTTTAAAGATTGTAAAAAAAATCAGTATGATAAATAAAATGTACAAATGAAGTAATAAAGTAAACTCAGAATGCTCACTAAATTTTGACACAATAATTCTTCAAGTATAATTTTAAAATTCTCCTAATTAAAATTGAAAAAAATAAAATTTCTTTGAATCTCATTTACAATAGAATGGCTTTCTCTTTAAGATTAATCAAATCAAAATTTAATTATTATAGTATATGACCTATTTTATTTTTCAAGTTATCAATTAACACTTAATATTATTATTCTGTTGTCTCTAATAAGAATCGAAAAATACAAATTAATACATTAATCATATTTTGATCATATAACTTATTGGTGATCAGAAAGATAAATTAATTGAAGTTAATTAAAATCTAGGAAAAAATTGACAATAAAAAATGCATAATTATAATACGGAAAATTGCATAATTTGAAACTATATGCAATCTTTTCATTAAATTAATACAAATAATAAAACAATACATATTATATTATAACTATATATTCATTTTACCAATAAAAATAAATAAATGTTAAAATTTCTATTATCCATTAAGATAAACTAATCCATAGACTTTACCAAAAATAAATAAAAAATTATCCATAGAACTTCCTATAATCTAATATGAGGAAAAGTTTTACCAACGACTCTTTTCACTTAAATAAAATATTGAGAAACAAGAATTAAATCACCCCAAATAAGGGTATTCGTGAGAATGATCTACAGTAAAATTGATTTAAATTTTGAAAAAATACACAAATAGACCTTAAAACTAAATTAATTAACTAAAAATGGCCAACCCAAACTAATTCCCTAGATGGTCAATCGGATGTGCCCTTTTTGTTTTGAAGTTAAACTTTTGTTAATATTCTTAAATCCTCTTTATTTGAGGTAAAATATTCATTCATCAGGTAAAATTACTTTAGAAAAATTAATTTGTCTACTACACTAAACTGTTCTCCTAATTTTAATGAACATAAAGTCAAAACTTTTTTCTCATCCTTTATCACTTTGTAAAGAATGAGATAATTCATTCTAATTTTCATCAAGTAGGTCATTATTTTTGTTTGTTAAACACCTATAAAACAAATTTTAAGTATATTCAAAATTAATCTATAGATGGATCATCAGACTTTATTGCTTCATATAGTTTATGAAAATTGTTAATATATTGACACTCATAATTTTAATCTTTTCTCTTGAATAATTTTTATACAAAATAGAAAAAAAAATCATTAATTCAATTATTTAATTCAAATATATATTTGACATGATGTTAAAAAATCATTGAATCGTGTGATATTTTATTGTTCTTTCCTATCATGTTTATTTCAAAATATCATAATAATTTTTTTCCCCCAAAACTAATTAAATTTTTATTATAAATTTATATAAAACTGTAATATTGGGCCCGTAACGGGCCTTTCATTATCTAGTATATATATAATTATAAATACGACAACTAATATGAAATGGAATGAATAGTAAATTATAGCTCCAAGACGACTTATATATATAAAATTATAAATACAACGACTAATATGAAATGGAATGAATAGTAAATTATAGCTCCAATATATATTTTGGCAAAAAAAAAATTAATCGCAGTTTGTGGTGATTATGGCTAGTTGTGGTGGTTGTGGGTGTAGAGACTCTATTTTGACCAAAGATATTTTAAATTAATTAATCAATTCTTTTTCTTTTAACTTAGTTTCTTGAATTTCAAACATAGTGAGATAAATATTAATAAATGCCATTTTATTAATTTAAAAACTACTTTATTTATTAAAAAACGAGTATGTTTTTTATATTTTCAAATTAAAGCCAACTGTGCTTTAATTATGATCAGGACCCTATTATATTACTAATAATTACTTTATTTTGCTAAATCAAAAGGATTTCATTATTAAATTAATTAAATGATTATCTCAATTTTAATACATATTGCCTTTGTTTCATAAATATCTTTAATTATAAATAATTGAGTAAATTTGATTTTTACTCAATAATTGGTCACAATTGCAACGCGAATTGGTTATGTTTGAAATAATAATGGCTATAACTTAAAGATGATTGATTAATTTTAAAATTTAATTTGGGTCATTTTCACTCTTAAAGATCAATTTTTTATCTTAGCTTTTTTCAACGGTCAAGTTTAGTAATGACCCTAAGATGGACTGGTTTTGATAATTTTTCCCTTATAAAAAATTCTCTAAAATGATCTCAGTAATGGGTGATCTTGATTTTTCAATCCTGCTTAATATTAGTTTTTTAAGAAAAAAATATTTTAGAAAAATCTAACTTTTGCCCATAAGACAAATGATTAAGATATTTTAAGACACTAAACCTTCTCACTTGACATGAAGTTCTACCTATCAGCAAAAATTAAAACTCATGTATGATATCCATCAGACATGGTTCTAACTTTTTTTTCCGTAAGACATTCAATCAAGACATTAGTAAAACAATAATTTGCTTAATTCAAACTTCAATTAAGGTAAATTTAATTTTTGATTTTTAAAAATACTATTATACAACATATCAAATTAATTCAATATGATTCGATAATTTTAAATTTTTATTTTGATATTTTGCAGTATGCATGAAACATTGGTAACCATAGTTGGTTCAACTTCGATTTATTTATAGTCATATAATAGAGAATTATGACTTCTACTTTTAAAAAAAACGAAAAAAGTATATCATATTAATACCTTACAATCTTGTATGTGTAGAAATATATGTTAAAAAGAAATTACAAGCAACTTTTTTGTTAATCAATAATTTTGATATTTGTTTCAATATCAAAAATTTGTAGTCAAAATTTAAACATCTACACATTTTATTTTGTACTAACATTAGGTTGTATGATATAATACTATAATTTTTTAATGTAACTACACATTTCGGTATATTTATAAATACCTAATACTAAAAGAACTTAATAGACATATATATATATCATAATAGCGCAATCACAGTATTAAAATTTCTTACTTGATATCTAATGTATCATGTGCACCATAATATTGTGTGTTAACTCATTTAATTGGGCTACAAATGATAGATTATATCACTTTGCCAAACCCAAAATTTCATCTTATTCTAGAGGTCTAGTTCGGTGCTACATGTCAGCTGGTGTGGTACGCCAAATCAAATAAAAGAGAAAATAAGATCATGTCACATATCAAAATGACATAGCATTAAATTCGATGACAATGAAAATATACAACCACAATTGACATGTTTCGATAATTAAATATCACCATGTCATTTGAACCTGATAATTTTTCATCTTATAATTATAAATAGGAGGTCAAAATTAAGAAAAGTCATTAGAATTTCAAAAAAAACTAACTCATGGATCAAAAATTACAAATTTCCTATAAGTTGCAAGCATTCAAACATTTGTGTACATATTATAAAGGGAGAATGCATAAGTACCCCCAGCCTATGCCCCAAATCCCTGAGACACACCTAACCTTTACTAAGGTCCTATTGC